GTTCAAATATATTTATTGGTCATTTTGTTTCATGGAAGACGAGAACAGCAGCGAACACGAGCCAGCGCATATGTATATACGAAAGAGTTCGTATATTCAAAATTGTCAGTGAATGAAGTGGCCAAACTGACATTTATACGAATCGACCAGTCCCCGTTGTCACTCCTCCAGTTGCTTCCACTTTCTTTCGACTTGGTCCAGTCTTCAAAGCGCCGCACAACATTAACCTTCTGTTGCTCTTCCTAAATGATTTAAATTTCTATTTGTAATTAAAAATATTATTTTTATAAATATATTAATATCTGAATGTTTTATTACAAAAAAGAAGTAATAATTTAATTTAAATATTTAGTTACAAATGTGGGCGCACATTGTCGGAACTCCCCCCAGCGGGGCTGCATCTTCTCGTACTTAGGTCAGTCTCTAAATCGGAGCACAATATTAATATTTTGCGGCTCTTTTGAACTATTTAACTTGTTAATTGTAGATAATTTAGAGACTGATGAATGCCTAAAAAATACCAAATATTCAGTGCTTAAGTATATACCCCAGAATGTTTGTTTACAAATAAAAACAGAAACTGCACCTGAAATGTAAAAATGTCCCTTGACTATAATATGACGTATATGGGATATAATTACATATAGGTTGCGTGACCCAGTGACCCAAGACAAGAGCGGGGAGTCAGCGAGAGCAATTTAGGAAGACGAGCGCGGTAGTCAAGTGTCTCTCAAGCTTCAGTTGTCTCCCTCGCTTAACTATGGGTAACACAAATAGCGCAAAGGGATCCAAGAGGAAGTTAGACGAGTGCCAGGAACACAATGTTCCCAGGAAAAGGCTCAAGATTGGGGACAAGACAGTTGGATATGAGGTTAGCCACAATGGTGAAGTTCTCACTATTTATCTTCGTCATCCTCCTATACCCACTAGACCCCCATCAATGAAGGGCTTGAAGAAGGCCGCCTTAGAGGGCCATAACTACCTCAAGGTCAAAGTCAATGGAAAATCCTGCACAATGTTTGTTGATTCCGGGACAACAACCAACTGTATAGAGAACCGTACAGCACGAGAACTTGGCTTGGATAAAATGCCATCGTCCAGTCAACGCTTCACAACAGAGTTCTATAACGAATAAAAAACAATGGATTTTAGAATAGTCAAAAATGTTAAGATTCACCCTAAAAATGGCAAAAAGGTGGTTGCCGACGTAGAAATCTTCCCCCCAAACATGGATAACTACTTTGAGCCCGACCCCACACCCGTATTTTTGTTTAGTTATCCACTAATGACAGAATACCACGTCATTCAGTAGTTCCATCACGGAAAGTCGACACTTTATTTTAAAAGACTGAGAAAATTTAAATACAAAGGGTTTGGATTGGCCGAGTCCAAATAGCCATACTTAAGGATAGATCTATAAACCCCTAAAGAACATAACAGCAGTAATAAAATACTTATTGATACAGGCACTCCAGACACGATGGTCTCAGAGCTGTTTCTTAGGAGCATTAATCTACACCATTTTCCGCCCAAAACCCTTCGCATACACGTGGAATCCGATATATACCTGGAGGATAACCTACATGTGCATCCACATCCAAGAGAAGCGTTTCCATTCACCATAGGAACAGTTTTGATGGAGAAGTATCAGTGCATCCTGGACGCCTCCTCGTTTTATTTGTATTTTAATGTTAACAATAAAACATATTTATCTCTGCTCTACTGATGAGATATTTAGCCAAACCTGTCGTGTTTAAAGCCTAGTTAGAAAAAAATGTGTGTGTGTGTTTATTTACAGAGGGGATGATATGTGTGTTGTCAGAAGACAGAATTTGTTATAGTTCTGATAGAAGATTTTTGCCGGGTGATGATGGGCTTGAGGAATTTTTTTAGTTTGTTGGTTCACATCCATGAGTAGACTTTTTTTTGCAGGGATATTCCTGCGCGGGCCCTAAACCTCGGGCTGGTCCACTAAGTGGTGCTTGTTTCTGTTTTACTTGGGTGGAGTATGAGTATTTATGACTCGTATGGTCGCTTCAGTAAGATTTTGTCACATGTGTTTAACAATATCTTCTGCTCTGTTGAATCTAAATTGAAATCTTAATGGGTTTGTAACTGTGCACTGTGTTAGATAATGTTCCAGTGGTATGTCGGGCATTTCTCCACAGTGCTGACATTTCCTCTCATCTTCCGGAACCTGTAAGCTTATTTCCCATGCACATGGGTATCCAAGCCTGATGCGATGTAAGTGTCTGTCTGTTTGTTTATTTACAATATTATTTAGTGTGTGGGGGTTCGGGTCTGAATAGATGAAAGTAGTATCGTCAGCAAATAGTATAGGTTTAAAAATGTTAAGAGACATTTGGCAAATCATTGGTGTAGGTAAGAAATAAGAGAGGTCCCAAGATGCTGCTCTGTGGCACTTCTCAGTGAATGGTAGAGTGGGGAAGGTTATATCACTGATTGCTACATATTGGTGTCTGTTACTAAGATAGGATCGAATATAGTTCAGAGCAAGCCCTCGAATTCCATAGTGGTGAAGTTTAAGTAAGAGGTAGTTATGGTTTATAGTATCAAAGGTCTTCTCAGGTCAACGAAGAGGCCAATTGGGAACTCATTTTCTTCAAGTGCTGTGTAGATTATATCAAGCAGACTAATAATTATATCATTGGTATTCTTTTGGGAACGGAAGCCAAACTGGCATGACTTAATATGTTGAATTTTACAAGGCAGGAGTAGAGCTGTTTATTTTTTTTTTAATATTTGTGGTAGTATCAGTAGATTTGATATTGGTCTGTAATTGTTTATGTCAGCTGTCTCGCCTCCTTTATGAACTGGAGTTACTCGTGCTTTCTTAAGTTAAGGATATAAGGAAAAGTATGACACTTTAGAGATTTGTTGATTAGCAGAGCTATGGGTGGTGCAAGGGCATGAGCGACACTCTTATATACTTGTATCCTATAATAATAATAATATTATTATTATTATTAAATACTACTACTACTACTACTACTACTACTACTAATAATAATAATAATAATAATAATAATAATAATAATAATAATAATAATAATAATAATAATAATAATTATGAACAAATTATATTGCTCCAAAGCGTGAAGAGCACTTTGAAAATTAAGATGTCACTAAACAATTGTACTTTTTTTCTGCATTTCTTTTCCTTCCTCTCTAGAACTTGTCTACCATGTTCCTCTGAGGTTTGAATATGGTAGTGTGGGGTATATCCCCTTTTTCCCATCTCAGAAGAGGGGTAAAATGGGAGTAATGATGATTCATTTTGCAATTGACTATATTCAACAGGAGTTAGAAAAATTAGAAATGTCAATGGTCCCTATTCTACTTGTAGATGATCAGAGAAGAAATGTTCAAGAGTTAAGATGAACAAATAGAAGAGTAAAAGAAGCTGAAAGCTCTAATAAGAAGTTGGGAGGTATTGTATGACTTTTGAGTTTGGTTTTAATCATGGCTACTTATGGATACTCACAGTTTTCATAAAGTTGCTAAGTCAATAGAACATTTGTTACGGTCATGTAATAATTAATAGTCAAACTTTCAGGTAGATTCCCTATCAAAGTAACCAGAAAATGGCGCTTTCTTTTATCAGACTATATCTCTGCCATCTTATTCCCTCCTGTCAGGTGGGTGTAGAGGCGTAGAAATAGCCTAAGCTACTCAGTCCCTTTGAGATATATTTTTTTCTTGTCTCAATAAACATACTTGAACTTGAACGTCAGGTGAGGGGTGGCCACGGGTAGACAAACATTCACCCCTCTTCCCCAACTGATGAGTATTTTTATTGGCAGAGCTTTAAGCAATTTTATATGCTCTAAGAATTACTTTTCATATGCTAACGTTTGTTTGTTATTATCGCTGACTCTTGTATAGCTTTAGTGAAGAAGGCAGCATTGAATAAATGGGAAAAAAATCCCATCTCGTAGGGTGGTTAGTCATACAGGCAGGCGATGAGTCACAATAACGTAGCTGAAGATATGATGACCAAACCATACCTCAGAAGATGGAGAAACCGAAACGTTGTCGTTTCTCTATCTTCTGATGTGTGGTTTGATCATCATAGTCATACATGGCCATGTGATCAGTAGCCCGCACTGGCAAATTTTGGGTGAATTATAAGGATATCTTCAAGAACACGAAATTTTCTGCCCGAAACGCTTTGCATCATAGTGACTTTAGGCATTGTATGTACTAGCTCTATCTATAAATCCATCAATGTTTGTATCACACCTTATATGTATGTACTTTACCTGAATAAACATTTGAATTTTGAATTTGAAAGTTAGTAAAGTGATTGCATAGCTTCAGAGACCTTATACCGGCAGGTCTAAAAAACTTGATGCGGGGTTGGGGGCGGCAAACTTGGAACACAGACTGAGGCTGGGTTCGGGGTGGTCATAGCTTGGATGTGCATAGCTTAAGAATGGATTGCATTACATATATAACAGGGTGTTGGTCGAATGTTAAAAATACGAGTCACATCGTGGAGGAATATAGTCGTTAGTTATAAGGACCCATTGACAAGCCTAACAGTCTTTTTGTCATGGATACCATATACATATTTGCCAGTTGTCTAAGTTGCTGGCATCAACATTCCACTCACACGGGTTCTAAGTCTCTTGTCGAACTGAAACCCATTCAAATGAACATATGTTCTGTCATTTAAGGTGCAATTAAAACTTTGTAAATACATCTATATACATTTTATTTCATACAAGAGATGGGGATGTGGGGGGGGGGGGGGGGGACTTTTTACATCATATCACAAACCAATCTCTATATCGCCCTCTGAGAAAAGTGCACTTTATTACACAATACACACGGCTGCTTGAGGTATATCCAGATTAAAAGCCTCTGCATAACCACAGTGTAAATATCTTAGCAGGCTACAGACTCGCTAAGAAATATTGTAAATCATTCAAAGGAAAGTGACAAATATATATACATCCGTGTTTTTTTGTTACAAACTCTATACTGGGAGACAAATTCGAGCACCTGGCATTAAATGGTGCCTGGGTACTTGAGAGAAGACGGGACAGCCAGTGGAGAAGGGAGAGGTATAGAAGGCGGATAAAGGATGTATAGAGGCAAAAGGGAAGCACACATGTATACACAGTGCGGGGAGCATAGATATATACGCAGTGTAGAGGGAGCATACATGTATACGCAGTGTGAGAGACCACAGATGTATGTCCAGTTTGGGGCTGCACTGATCAGTACATTATGTGTGGAAAAGACAAAGCCACACACACACACATTCGCAAGGAAGCCTAGGCATATTTTATAAGCATCGACTGTGAGATACAGTAACATGCAGTGACCACAACAGTCTTCTCGTGTGTTTTAAAGGGAGGCGATAGCATATTTAACGTGATATAACCACAATCAACTACATCAAGACAAACTTTTTTTCCAAAAGCTTTTGAAGGTTGAGTCCATTGGCAGATACAAGTACCACAAGTTGAGTTTTTCTGCTATTGTGTTTTTAAGCACCATAAGAACAAAAACAAAGGCCTATTGGCCCATACGAGGCAGCTCCTATTTATAACCACCCATAATAGGTTTCATTGATAAAGTCTATGATACTGGAGTAGGATATATCGCGTACCTATTGGTACTGGGATAGGATATACTGCTGATATAAGTATATCAGTGTATCGCTAATATAAGGCCATCTTCCTAGCTGTGTCAATAAACACTTTACATATTTAGTCATAGCAGGACATATAGATTATATTGTGTAGCCTACCATATAATCTACATTAGTATGGTCCTGCGAGATCATCCTGTGGGTACTTCTGCCGCGTTCTCATTTTACAAGAGCCAAACAGCATGCACGTGACTAGGCTTGGCTGGGAACATATAACTTATCTACAACACTGTTTGCACGTATTAAACAGTACGGTTGTACATACTAAACTGTACGGTTGCACGTATTAAACTGTACGGTTGCACGTATTAAACTGTACTGTTGCATATATTAAACTGTACTGTTGCACATATTAAACAGAACTGTTGCACATATTAAACAGTACTGTGTTGCACATACTAAACTACTGTTGCACATATTAAACAGTACTGTTACACATTAAACAGTACTGTGATGCACATACTAAACTACTGTTGCACATATTAAACAGTAGTTACACATATTCAACAGTACTGTGTTGCACATATTAAACTACTGTTGCACATATTAAACTACTGTTGCACATATTAAACAGTACTGTTGCACATATTAAACAGTACTGTTGCACATATTAAGCAGTCTGATATGGGATGCATCATTGTATGCAAATACTTGCATTCAACATGTCCCACCTGATACAAGATAAATAATGACTGAAATGTATTTAGTACTATCTATTGATACTGCAACCTGTACCTTGCATATCTCCAGTTTTTATTATAAAACTTGCAAAATCACAATAAAAAAGGAATATAAACGGGAGTGAAAATAATGTGCAAATGAACAATAAAAATGATGCAAGTGGTCAAAATATTGGCAGTCAGGTTAAAATTATTGAAAGCAGCGAAACTTGGTATTTGTAGCCTATCCACAACTCTGTGTCGATCAGTAATGCTTTAACAGAGAACACTTTACTGCCAATAATATGTTTTCACAATCTTTTGGAACATTACAGAAACATGGTGATCATTTACATATAACTTGTTTGAAAGAGAATCACCTATAGTTCCTGAAAGACAGAGTCCATGTGCTAGAATCACTTAGTCCCTGAAGGAGGAAGTGAATCTATGTGTGACTAAATCTCCCAAGGATTTTCTGGGGTTGTGCTGGGGGCAACACATGGAACTGCTATTTACTGCCGACACCAAGACAGAGCAGTGAGCCAGTCAGACTCCACGGGGGTTCAACATAATCACTTTATCAGCAAAAGGCATGACAGGAGGAAGAGGAGGAGAGGGAGCACTCTAAATGATGGAATGGACGTTTCTCTGAGTTTATTTCAGATTTATCGTTAATTTGGATGAACAACAGCTTTTTCTTGATTATAAACAGCTTTATATCGTATTCCACAAACATTTCCACATGCAGCAGTCACTGCTTGCGATGTTAGCATCCTATAGATACATTATTACGTGGTTATCAGTTTACAAATATATTTAATTCAAATTCTGGGGGCAGACGTGTCTTGTTCATATGGGCTGTCACATAATTGACAACGTATACAGGCGGGACCAAAGAGCTGAAGCTCGATCGCGGAAGATTACAATATTGATTGCTGGAACATTGGACTCGCTTGTGACGGAATGACGAAAAATATATTTATTTGAGCATAATACCATGGTGATATCGTGCGGTACCGTGAAGGTATCGTATGGTACCATGAAGGTATCGCACGGTACCTTGAAAATATCGCACGGTACCATGAAAATATCGCACGATACCCTGAAGGTATCGCACAGTACCATGAAGGTATAGCACGGTACCATGAAGGTATTGTATGGTACATGAAGGTATTATATGGTACATGAAGGTATTGTAAGGTACCATGAAGGTATTGTATGGTACCATATAGGTATCGCACAGTACCTTGAAGCTATTAGACGGTACAATGAAGGTATGGTATGATACCATGAAGGTATGGTATGATACCATGAAGGTATCGTAAGGTACCATGAAGGTATCGGACGCAACCATGAAGGTATCGTATGGTACCATGAAGGCATCGGACGTTACCATAAAGATATAGCATGGTACCATAAAGGTATCGTACGAGACCACGAAGATATCGTACGGCACCACGAAGATATCGTACGGCACCATGAAAGTATCGTACTGAACCATGAACGTATCAGACAACGCCACGAAGGATGTGAACAACGCAGTGGCAAGTATGTGAGCACTGCTGAGGGTATGTGGCGTGGATCAACTTATGTGGCAGGAGGAGGACTTCCTGACGGGGTCTGACTTGCCCGCCACCGCGCACAACTGCAAAGAATATTGAACACCGGCGTCATCTCTACCCCCAAAACTTGATCTGTATATTTCACTGTTACAACCAGGTTTTGCGTGCATGATGTGAATTGTCTTCATGTTCTGCAAACTATAAAGCAACTGCTTTTGTAGAAACTACAAGAATGAGGTCATTATTTTCAAGAAAGGAATTAAAATGAAATATATAAAAGCAAGATTTTGCATAAGCAGTATAGCAGATGTAAGCGAGAATAGGCTGGTCCACTCTGTGCTTACCTCTTTGGTCTTGTTTTGGTCCTTCTTGGGATCCTTGCTTGATATAGCAGGCGCTTGATGTACTTGAAGAGCGCCAGGCGCTATTTGCGAGGCTTCCGCTATTTTACGGTCCTCTTTTTTATCTGGGTCATACAACAAAGTGGTGTTAGTAGGCGTTTTTGGCGCATTAGTAGTAGATTTGCTGTTTGCACTATGTCCATCATCTTTGTCATTTACAGTTTGATTTTGCATTTTGCGTTCCCTTCTCCGTGGAGGAATAAGGAGCGGATCTGGAGCGGTGCTACTTTCACTAGAGTTAGAACATGCCTGAGCTGCTACTGGTGTGGGTGGGGCGGCCGATGATACGGTAGCCTCGCATGCAACTGACGTTTGTGGAATTTTCTTAATAACGCTGTCTCTGTCACAGGGAGTCTCTGACTGTCTCTCAGTTTGTTCATGGGAGTTTATATTGGCCCTTCTACTGTAACATCTACTTCTACTGGCTTGTTCTACATGGTGTCTACTTTCAATGTTTGCATATCTATCTACATGACATCTACTGCTGGGAGTTTTGGCTGCACTTGGACGAGTTGCCTTCACATCATCTGACTCTGAGAGCTGGGTCAGAGGTTCTTCAGTGACAGAGCCATAATTCTGACCACCATCAACTTTGAACAATGTCTCTGACAAATGCCCCTGATTTTGACCAGTCGTAGAATATTCTTCCGAGGGAATATGTTTCAAATCAGTAGTGCACTGTGGAGAGGTTTCCTCTGAGGGGACATGCTTGTTGCTAGTAGTGCTTTCAGACGAAGCTTCTTCAGAGGGGAAATGCCTTTGGCCAGTATTAATATATTTGGACGAAGCTTCGTCTGATGGGGCACGTCTCTGGCCTGTTGCAGTACATTTAAGCGAAGCCTCCTCTGAAGGGTCATCCCTGGCCTTGTCCAAAGACTCTATACTGAGGGTCTTCTTGGCGATCCAGCAGGCCGGAGAGCTAGCTGACTTCCGGATTAGGAATGCAAGGTTGTCGTAGTCACTAAGACTCATCGCTTCGTAAGTGCTACATCGCCAGACGGTTTCTCGAGGGGGACGACGGGGAACTTCACTAGCACCAGTCGCTGTTGGTCGTTCTGGAGAACTTTCATGAGACAACTCTGTTTTCTGCTGGTTCATAACATTCATCCTGATGTTTCTATCATCGCTGGTTGGAACATTTGGTCCATTTTGATCTTCCTGTTCATCTGCTACGTGGTGATCTTCCTGCTCGTCTGCCAGGTGGTGATCTTCCTGCTCGTCTGCTACGTGGTGATCTTCCTGTTCGTCTGCTAGGTGGTGATCTTCCTGCTCGTCTGCCAGGTGGTGATCATCCTGTTCGTCTGCTAGGTGGTGATCTTCCTGCTCGTCTGCCAGGTGGTGATCATCCTGTTCGTCTGCTAGGTGGTGATCTTCTTGTTCGTCTGCCAGGTGGTGATCTTCCTGTTCGTCTGCTAGGTGGTGATCTTCTTGTTCGTCTGCCAGGTGGTGATCTTCCTGTTCGTCTGCTAGGTGGTGATCATCCTGTTCGTCTGCCAGGTGGTGATCTTCCTGTTCGTCTGCTAGGTGGTGATCTTCTTGTTCGTCTGCTAGGTGGTGATCTTCCTGTTCGTCTGCTAGGTGGTGATCTTCCTGTTCGTCTGCCAGGTGGTGATCTTCCTGTTCGTCTGCTAGGTGGTGATCTTCTTGTTCGTCTGCCAGGTGGTGATCTTCCTGTTCGTCTGCTAGGTGGTGATCTTCCTGCTCGTCTGCCAAGTGGTGATCTTCCTGTTCGTCTGCCAGATGGTGATCTTCCTGGGTAACACTGTTGACATGAGCTTCACATTTGTCCTCATCACCGTTGGTGGACGCCACCGTGGTGGGGGAAGTGCACGGTACGCTGCCCTCGTCTTGACCTCTCTCCTCCTCTGTTGCTGGTGAGGAAATTCCCTCATCGAATACCTTTCTGGAGGGAATTTCCTCACCGGTTTGAGTATTTATTTCCTTGGCGCTGGTTCGGACGCAACTGAGGAGTTCCTGTGTGGTGGCTGGGTCGCTTTTCTTTTGTTTGTCAGTCACGGCTTCAGTCTCCATATATGCTTTACTTGCTAATATTTGATGATTTGGTTTTAGGCTGGGTGTATTTAAGTCAGTATCCTCTAAATCAATGCCTTCTGATAACCGAGAAACATATTTGGAACTCTTCTTTGACTCTGAGTTCGCAGTGTTGACCACCCCGAGAAACGTTCCTCCGGTGATTTTGCTGTCAGTAGGAGTGATATGTTGTGAAATAGTCCCGTGATGGATGACGACAGCACCTTCTTCAACAGGTCTCAAGTTGCTACTTTCCTCGGGCACATGCACATGAACTTTCATGAGGAGCACTGAGTCCTTTTCTGTGGTTCTGCTCTTGGTACGTGGCGCGGGGCTATCAACCCTGCCTTGGGATTTGGTGATCTTGCCGACCCCGCAGTACTTAGGAGTCACGCCTGCTGGTGCTCCTCCTCCCCGTGTGGGGACCACAGCGAAGGGCCTCGCGTCCTCGGCTTGCTGCTTCCCGCATATGTGTTCAACAGAGCGTCCCTTCACCGTCCTACTGCCGGAGTCTTCAGTCAAGCGAGCATCCACCCAGGCTAGACTCGCGTCGACTTTAGCCAAGCAGTCATCCATTTTATTCACTGCTGTTTTGTCTCCTAAATTTTCTTTAAGAGCAGAACTATTGGATAAAGTCGCGGCTGCTGTTGGTTTGGGTTTTACAAGTTTCATATTAGTAGAATGAGCGTAAATTATGTTTTCCACATTACTCTCTTTTCTTTCTTCCTCTGAAAGTTTACACTGTAATTTTTGTACAATTTCTTCTTTAGTCTCACTTGCATCTACTGTGATATCGCCTGTGTCAAGTTCCATGTGAATTACAATCCTTTCAACATCATCTGATTTCCCTTGAGTTGTATTGATATCTTCTGCGTTTCCTTCATTATTTATTTCTGCATCAATCTGCAGGTTGTTAACTTCATCGTCGTGAGTCGTGACTGTCACTGATTCGACGGTCAATGGTTCGCTGTCCTCTCTTTCAAGTAAATCATTTACCCCTGTTGCTGCCCTCGCATCATAGGACGGTTCAGTACTTTTACACTCATCTCGCTTGACTGCACTATCTTCACTACATTCATGAACTACACTAACTTTACATTCTTTGATTTTAGTTTCTGACAAGGATAAACTCGATTCATATCCACTCGTCTGTGAATCAGATTTTTGGAGGTTACCTTCCATGTAGTGAGAGTCAACAGATAACTGATTTGGGTCTAGCAAAGTGTTAGTTATATCTACGATTATGTTAGTATCTTCTTTGGCTAAACACTCTGCATTACTCACCGAATCTGCAAGCAAATTGAAAGTTGTTTTCTCAACTGGTTCAGTTTCTCCATCTCTAGTACAAGTTCTAGATTTTGTGGTGTCACTCTCTTGATCGTACATGTCTATCTCTACTGAAGGCATAATGTTTTTCTTTCTCTCATCACTAACAGCTGTAATGTTCGCAATGCCAGAGACCTCAATTCCTGGCGATGGACTATTTGTTCTCGAGGGAATGTTGTCACTGTCTTCTTCGTTTCCATCGTTTTCACTCTCGCTCTCTTCTACTCCAAGTTCCTCATCCAATATATCCTCTATTTCATCCTCGCTTTTGATCTCGTCACATTCACTGTTGTACTCTTCACCTAATCCTTTGTCACCTTCGTCTGTTTCTCTTTCCTCATCTTCGTCTGAATCAATTTCGTCATCTGCATCTTCTTCAACATCAATTTCCGTTCTCATTTTCTCCATAATACTTCGTTTGCTCTTCTCAACGCCAGTCATGAACTCTGGCTCAATCTGCGGGTTCTGTGAAGTAGAGTGAAAGAACTCCGTCGTCGTCGCTGCCTCACTGATTTCACTCGTATCCATATCAAGAGTTTCGGTTGCTTCACTCGCTTCACTCAGGTCGTCTTGCCACTGTTTTTCCTGCGAGACACATGGCATCGTTGCCTGTGACTCCCTTGGGCTGGTTTGGTCTAACTGGGAGTCTGCTTCCCACCATGGAGTATCCCTAAAGACCACGCTAGCTTGGAGTCTCTCCCCTTCACTCACACTGTACATGGTACTGGTGTCGCTGAGCAGGCTATCGTTGGCGTCCTCGAAGTCATCTGTTCTACTCGATGACTCCATTTCATCCTCATTCGATTCTGATATGCTACTTTCATCTTCCTCCTCGTCCTCCTCGTCTCTACTTGCAGTTACCTCGTCCTCCTCTTCTTCACTGACTGAAGAGTAACAGTTAAATAAGTGTGCAGTGTCCGAGCTTTTTTTTAATTCACTCCAGAAGCCCTTGGATTTCTCTTGCTCAGTAAACTCCTCTGTCTCCCACCATGGTTTGTCCTCGTCTTTGAAGAATTCTTTGGCCGATATCACATTTTTCTTTTCCTCTTCCTCTGTCTCCCACCATGGCTTTTCATCTTTGAAATAGTCTTTGGCTGATATTTTCTTAGGCATCCCTTCTGCCCCTTCACATTCATCAGCGGAAACTCCCTGGGATGTGTCCAGGTCCTCGACGGCGTCCCTCCACCAGCACTCATCGTCCCTGAAGAACTCTTTAGCTGATATATATTGTGGGTTATTTTCCTTTTCATCAGCTCTGCCAAGGTTCTCTTTATCGCTTTGATCTTCCCACCAATTGCTATCTTCTTTGAAGAACTCTTTCGCAGATACGACTTCGGGTTTTTCCTCCCAGTTCTCCCAGAAGGCGGCGTGATCTTCCTCGAAGAGCTCTTTGGCAGAAATCACCTTCGGCTTTTCCATCCATGCTTCCAGCCAGTCATCTTCATCCTTGAAGGCCTCCTCGACAGTGAGGACCTCGTAAGCATTGGACATTTTCCAGTAGGCATCTTCTTCGGTGTCGTCAGTCTCCTCCTCGTCCTCAATCGTCTCGCTCCTCCCTTCCACTGCGGAGCTGGAGTCGGCGTCCTCAGTGATATATCCGTCCTAAATTAGTACACATGCATTCAGAAACTAGAGCCTCGGATAGTGAGCTAGACATAACAAGACGGGCAAGTTCTAGTGTGTGATAGTCTTGTCTTGCTGCGGCTGCCTCTGGGGCGCCTGGTTAAGTTTGACCGGGACAAGTTTGAAAGCCCTGATGGTTAGCCGAGGCCAAACGAAGGAATTAAAACAAGAGTTTCTGCAGGTTATATCGTGATTTTTTTTTTTACAGGAAAAGCTAACGAATAGGAAACAATAATGAATGTCAAAATGATACACGTTCTAAAAGGCGACATTTATTCTAGGAAAGAAAATGTAAAAATTAAGACGAAGATGATGCTACCAAGCAAACGTTTTGACGGAAGACATAAAGAAAGCTTAATAAGACAAAAAAAAGTGAGAAAAACACAAAAATAAACGGTAGGCAGAGAAAATGGGAAGAAAAACAATTTGTAAAAAATATCGGCCAATTATACATAGACAAAAATCTCTCATACAGAAGCCCAGGACAAATATGCTCATTTTTTTTTTTTAGTTTCCAGAGTGTTATTTACACCAGAAGGTTCAAAGCAGCGATTTATTTACTTTTCCTTATCCATTAATAAAGCTTCCTCCACTTTCTACCACTACTTACTTCAAACAGCCTATAGACATCTTCGAGAGCTACAATTTTGTCGTCTTCAGGCCGGGGTTCTTTCTTGGCGAGCGCGGCCATCTGCCGAAGGATGTCGTAGAGGCCTTGTCGCTTGGCCTCTTCGCGGGGGTTGAGTCCGGTGCCCTCAACCTCTGCGAACTGGTCAGCCCCCGCGCGCACCAGCCCCACCACCTTGTCGGCGTCGTTGTGTCTCACAGCCAGGTACAGGTGTTTCAACAGCTGCGCACAAGCAGAAAGAGTGACAGGTATTTCACAGCTACGTAGAGGAGATTATGTATAGAGTGACATATGAGTTTCAATAGCAGCGTACATAGAAGTTTCAGTAGTAACATACACACGGGTGTTTCAACAACAGCACACATTGGTGTTTCAATAGTAGAACATATATTTGTTTCCGGGATATTATTAAGAAAGAGACAGAGAAAACGTCAATAAACAAATAGATATAGACAAATTGGAAAAGGTATTGACGTGACTCAGTTATGGACACAAAACAAGAAACGCCACAGCTAACATTTATCCTCGTTGCTACAACAACTAACACGAGGAGAAAGCTAATACCTCGCAGGAAGACCCACCATGTCGGTGTAGAGGAGGCCATCCTTACTCCTGACGGAGGTGTCGGCGCCGCGCTCCAGCAGGAGGTGGACGGTGTCCACGCTACCCTCGCTGGCCGCCCAGTGCAGCGGGGTCTGACCCATCCAGTCTTGGGCGTTGATGTCCGAGCCTTCGTCCAGCAACACCTGCATGATCTGCAACCCACAGGTATTGTCTTCAACTCACAGTGAAAGCATACAACACAGCAAGTGTTTACAACACACAGCGAACACATCCAACATGACACACATGTCTCTACAACACACAGTGAACACATCCAACATGACACACATGTCTCTACAACACACAGTGAACACATCCAACATGACACACATGTCTCTACAACACACAGTGAACACATCCAACATGACACACATGTCTCTACAACACACAGTGAACGCATCCAACATGACACACACGTCTACAACACACAGTGAACACATCCAACATGACACACACGTCTACAACACACAGTGAACTCATCCAACATGACACACATGTCTCTACAACACACAGTGAACGCATCCAACATGACACACATGTCTCTACAACACACAGTGAACACATCCAACATGACACACATGTCTCTACAACACACAGTGAACACATCCAACATGACACACATGTCTCTACAACACATAGTGAACACATCCAACATGACACACATGTCTCTACAACACACAGTGAACACATCCAACATGACACACATGTCTCTACAACACATAGTGAACCTTTAAAATAACAGTAAACACATAATTTATTATTTACTTAAAATAATAAATAATATTACTAACAAAAATGGCAAAAATAATTAGCTTAAATATATAATAAATAAATTTCACACATCTACAAATTCAAGTTGACTTTTGTTAACAATTTCTCTTGGGTGGAACAAATATATGCAAACATAGCTAGAATATCGTATGAAGTGAACCAAATCAATAAAAAAAACTTCCAGTAACAGTGTAGACAAAGTGTTGTTCCCGTGAAATTAGGTGGTGGTGGTGGTGCAGTGGTAGAACACTCGCCCAGCGCTTCGCGAGCGCTTTGGCCTGGGTTCGTATCCTGGCCGGGAAGGATTGACTGGGTGCCAATCCTTAACTGTAACATCCCAACAGTGAATGGGATACTGGTTGTTAAACCCTTTGGCGGGTCGTATTCTGGGGAAAATTAGGATTAATGACCTGCCCGAAACGCTATGCGTGCTAGTGGCTTTACAAGAATGTAAGAACTCTTGTATATAAAAAAATGCATCTATCATACCTGGCTGGAGTTATTGTTGTACCGGATGGATGCTCGCTTGACTGTTATTGTTGTACCGAATGGATGCTCGCTTGACTGTTATTGTTGTACCGGATGGATGCTCGCTTGACTGTTATTGTTGTACCGGATGGATGCTCGCTTGACTGTTATTGTTGTACCGGATGGATGCTCGCTTGACTGTTATTGTTGTACCGGATGGATGCTCGCTTGACTGTTATTGTTGTACCGAATGGATGCTCGCTTGACTGTTATTGTTGTACCGGATGGATGCTCGCTTGACTGTTATTGTTGTACCGGATGGATGCTCGCTTGACTGTTATTGTTGTACCGGATGGATGCTCGCTTGACTGTTATTGTTGTACCGGATGGATGCTCGCTTGACTGTTATTGTTGTACCGGATGGATGCTCGCTTGACTGTTATTGTTGTACCGAATGGATGCTCGCTTGACTGTTATTGTTGTACCGGATGGATGCTCGCTTGACTGTTATTGTTGTACCGGATGGATGCTCGCTTGACTGTTATTGTTGTACCGGATGGATGCTCGCTTGACTGTTATTGTTGTACCGGATGGATGCTCGCTTGACTGTTATTGTTGTACCGGATGGATGCTCGCTTGACTGTTATTGTTGTACCGGATGGATGCTCGCTTGACTGTTATTGTTGTACCGGATGGATGCTCGCTTGACTGTTATTGTTTTGGTGACCGGCAGATCAGCTGTGACTCACATGTATACAGGTTGTGCAATGTACTCTCTTATTTTATGTGTGTTCTAACTTTAGTTCGTATGCAGTTTGGTTATTGTTACAGTGAATAGAAAGTGCTTAAACTGTATACAGATACTGTATATTATATGCCTTGGTATTATTGCAAGATATAACTGCAGCAGTCCCCGTGGCGCAGTGGTAAAACACTCGCCCGGTGCTTCGCGAGCGCTTTGACCTGGGTTCATATCCTGGTCGGGGAGGATTGACTGGGCGCCAATCCTTAACTGTAGCCTCTGTTTACTCAACAGTGAATGGATACCTGGTTGCTAAACGATTTGGTGAGTCGTATTCCGGGGAAAATTAGGATTAAGAACTTGCCCGAAACGCAAACTGCACTGAAGTTTGACCATGTAGAAATGTACAGGAGTTCGGTATAGGAGTAGTTTGTCGTGCCTTGAAGGGGGGTGAGCTTCCTTGTGACAGGCAGCCAGTAGGAGGAAGGGCTCACCTGATGATTGCCGCGGTAGGCAGCCAGTAGGAGGGGCGTCCTGCCGTGGGAGTCGACAGCGTTGACGTTGGCGCCACACTCCAGCAGCAAGAAGCAGATGTCAAGCGTCCCCTGCACCATTAGACACATGGCCGACATATGGTCATATCCAGTACTTTGTTACGCACTACCTACGATACCAGCTGGCACAACTACCTACGCTACCAGCTGGCACAACTACCTACACTACCAGCTGGCACAACTACCTACACTACCAGCTGGCACAACTACCTACACTACCAGCTGGCACAACTACCTACACTACCAGCTGGCACAACTACCCACACTACCAGCTGGCACAACTACCTACACTACCAGCTGGCACAACTACCTACACTACCAGCTGGCACAACTACCCACACTACCAGCTGGCACAACTACCTACACTACCAGCTGGTACAACTACCCACACTACCAGCTGGCACAACTACCTACACTACCAGCTGGCACAACTACCTACACTACCAGCTGGCACAACTACCTACACTACCAGCTGGCACAACTACCTACACTACCAGCTGGCACAACTACCCACACTACCAGCTGGCACAACTACCTACACTACCAGCTGGCACAACTACCTACACTACCAGCTGGCACAACTACCTACACTACCAGCTGGCACAACTACCCACACTACCAGCTGGCTCAACTACCTACACTACCAGCTGGCACAACTACCCACACTACCAGCTGGCTCAACTACCTACACTACAAGCTGGCACAACTACCTACTCTACCAGCTGGCACAACTACCCACACTACCAGCTGGCTCAACTACCTACACTACCAGCTGGCACAACTACCTACACTACCAGCTGGCACAACTACCCACACTACCAGCTGGCTCAACTACCTACACTACCAGCTGGCACAACTACCTACACTACCAGCTGGCACAACTACCTACACTACCAGCTGGCTCAACTACCCACACTACCAGCTGGCACAACTACCTACACTACCAGCTGGCTCAACTACCTACACTACCAGCTGGCACAACTACCTACACTACCAGCTGGCATAACTACCTACACTACCAGCTGGCACAACTACCTACACTACCAGCTGGCACAACTACCTACACTACCAACTGGCACAACTACCTACACTACCAGCTGGCACAACTACCTACACTACCAGCTGGCACAACTACCTACACTACCAGCTGGCACAACTACCTACACTACCAGCTGGCACAACTACCTACACTACCAGCTGGCACAACTATATCTTTGGCTATAAGAGGTGAGGAATATCTATGATATCTTAGGGTATAACAAGTGAATAATATCTATGATATCATAGGTTATAACAAGTGAATAACATCTGTGCTATATCAAGTTAGGAATATCTATGATATCTTAGGCGATTGCAAATGATTAATATCTTCGATATCTTAGACTATAACAAGTGAATAATATCTATGATATCTTAGACTATAATAACTGAATAATATATATGATGTCTTGGATTATAATAACTAAATAATATATATGATATCTTAGTTATAATAACTGAATAATATATATGATATTTTAGGCTATAACAAATGAATAATATTTATGATATCTTAGACTAGAAGTGAATAATATCTATAATACCTTAAGACATAATAAGTTAGGAATATCTATGATATCTTAGGCTATAACAAATGAATAATATCTATGATGTCTTAGGCATTAGCAAGTTAGTAATATCTATGATATTTTAAGCATTAGCAAGTGAGTAATATCTATGATATTTTAGGCATTAGCAAGTGAGTAATATCTATGATGTCTTAGGCATTAGCAAGTGAGTAATATCTATGATGTCTTAGGCATTAGCAAGTGAGTAATATCTATGATGTCTTAGGCATTAGCAAGTGAGTAATATCTATGATGTCTTAGGCATTAGCAAGTGAGTAATATCGAGTAATATCCGGATATAATCGAGTCTGCATGAAAGTCGCTAGTGAGGAGGAACAGTGTCGAGGGCTTTCTGGCAATCCAGGAAAATGCAATCTTCCTAGCCCTCTCTCTCTCTCTCTTGTTTGATTGCTGTCTTGTCATAGAACTCAATGACAAGATAACTTGTCGTAGAGTTTTATTGTTAGTAAAGCAAGATTTTTCTTTGTTGAATCCATGTTAATTTTTGGAAACCAAATTTATATGTTCTATATGATCAACGAGGCTTTTTTTTAGCATCTAAAAGATAGTCTGTTTTGTGATGTAGGCCATACCCAAGGTGTGGGTAGTAGTGTGGAGGCCATACTCATTGTATGAATGGTAGTATTGAGGCCTACCAATGGTATGGGTGGTAGTGTGGAGGTCATACCCAAGGTGTGGGTGGTAGTGCAAGGTAGAGTAGGGGAGGGGGGGGGACCACACCTGTAGTGTGGATGGTAGTGAGAAGGCCCCACACCCAAGGTATGGATAGGAGTGTGGAGGAGGGGGGGGCAAGGGCTGGGACCCACCTTGTAGACAGCGTGGTGGAGCAGGGTCCAGCCGCGAGGGTCTCGACTGTTAGGGTCACCGCCCCACGCCAGTCCTGCCATCACTTGAGTCCTGTCCTCTGTCCGAACTGCACGGATCAGCGCCTGTAACATGGTCATAATAATAATAATAATAATAATAATAATAATAATAATAATAATAATAATAATAATAATAATAATAATAATACATGTTATTCAGTGTGACAAAAGGCTAGATCAGTGATTCAAGCCCGAATGTTTTGTATATTTCTTATGTTCTTCATTTGAAAATGTAGTTGAAAAATTAACTCTCCAAAATGAGTGTTTACAATTTTATACGGCCTAACACTAAGAAAAAAAGATGCATTTCGTGGTGTTGCATAGGGTCAATAGGCTTTCCACAGTTTTCTTGCTTCCCCATAACATATGTTGGCTGGGGCATTGTACTGGATATTCCACCTTGGTCTTGAAGATGATAGAATGTATCCGAGTGTGAGCTGTTAATAGTTCGCTGAAGTTGTTAGATATGTTGTGCTTCACCAATGTATAGTTTTCTAATGTCGTTTTTCTAATGTCGTCCGGATATCTCTGGTGATGATCTGGTTAGGTGTAGAAATTATATGTTCTTTGATGGGGGCCCTGTTTGCTTGTGCATTGTGAGACGCCTTGAAAGAGAGGTTTTCTTCCCTATATATTGAAGATTGTTGGGTGATGAGAGTCCCCAAATGGGCACATGAAGGCATAGACGACATTCGTCTTTTTCAAGGCGTTTCACTTCATATCGGGAGAGTTCTCCATGAGTAGGCTGGCGGTGAAATAGCAAGTGAGAGAGAATGAGAATATAATCCAAGAAAATAAACACATATGTATACACATAAATAATACACACGGGGAGCAAGAGTGACAAGCACACCACAGTAAGGGTGATCTTACGCACGCCACCAGGTCGACCACACTGGGGGAGCAATGATCACCCCGTCAGGCATACCTGAAGCCTCCGTCACTATGTGATGGAGTGCGAATATAAACGTGATTTTAGAAACAATTATATAACAAATGTTCAAGAAATGTGTAAATGTTTAATTCAAAATGATCTACTATATTTTAGCCTCACCAGGCAAAACCACACTGTGGGAGCCATTTACACCAGATTGATTTATCGATGAAGATTAAGCCACCCAAGAGGTGGCAAGGGCATAAATAGCCCGTAAAGTAATATCTAATATTCGTAAGTGATAGATTTTAGGGAATGAATGTGATCTTTGGTCATGAACATATACACCACACTCAAGGATCCATATATAACCTCTCAGGCTGCTGCACCTCACCAGATCCGAGTAGAGAAGTCCGCTCTTATTTTTGACGGTATCTACGGCGCCCTTCTCCATGAGGAGCTCGACGGCTGCGGTCTGGCCCCACCTGGCGGCAGCGTGAAGGGGCGTGTTGCCCTGGTCGTCGGCGGCGTTGAGCTTTGCTCCCCGACCCACCAGCACCGTGATCACGTCCTCCGCTCCTTCCCTCGCCGCCTCGTGTAGGGGAGTCGACCCATTCTTGTCCTAGAGAGAGAGACCATTGTCAAGGATGAAGGTACGTGAAAAGACATCCGTTAGTGCATTTTCACTGTTATATGTACCTTATAAATTGTGCACACGAAGCAAACCAGCTACAGATAATTTTATTCGGATGAGGCTTCTTGATTAACTGGTGTGTGTGTGGAGAGCAGTGAGTATTCACCTGGACATTGACCGTTGCGCCCTTGTCCAGGAGCGCCTTAAGAACGAAGAGGTGGCCCCAGTAGGCGGCGTGGTGCAGGGGAGTCTTGCCCCCTGCGTCAGTAAGGTTTGGGTTCGCGCCACCCTCCAGCAAGGCGTCCGTAATCAGCACATCACCCTGTGAGAAGAGCAGTCTTAGTGTGGGACTGTCAGTCTTAGTGTAGAGAGAGTAGGCTTTAGTGTGGGGAGAGTTGGTCTTAATGTGGAGAGAGTAGGCCTTAGTGTGGGACTGTCAGTCTTAATGTGGAGAGAGTAGGCCTTAGTGTGGGACTGTCAGTCTTAATGTGGAGAGAGTAGGCCTTAGTGTGGGGGGAGAGTAGGCCTTAGTGTGGGGGGAGAGTAGGCCTTAGTGTAAGGAGAACAATCTCATACAAACAATATGGGTAGACAATCATTACGCTGAAACGGAAGAATGTAAAATATTGTGAAACAGCTCAAGAAATCAAGGAATTCAAAATTTCGATCAGTATTTGGTAGTGAAAGTCACAAATTAGTTAAGTAAAAATACATGCTTCATAATTGAGCATTATCTAACTACATGAGCATAGCTAAATAACCTAGTATAATATAATGAATAATGAAATACATGAGTAAAACTAAATAGCCTAGTATAACATAATGAATTATGAAATACATGAGTACAACTAAATAACCTAGTTTAACATATGAGTATAATTGAATAAATTGGCATAACTAAATCGCCAATTATTGCATTTGAGTATAGCTAAATCTATGAGCTAATTTTTTTTTAAAGTCCCCTGATGTCAGTACATCAGTTCCTGTTGACTGTCTTCCTAATGTTAGTGGCCCCACACCTGGTTGCTGACTATTACCCCTGATGTTAGTAGCCTCAGAGAAGATTGGTGACCTTCCCCCTGATGTTAGTAGCTTCAGAGAAGATTGGTGACCTTCCCCCTGATGTTAGTAGCCTCAGAGAAGATTGGTGACCTTCCCCCTGATGTTAGTAGCTTCAGAGAAGATTGGTGACCTTCCCCCTGATGTTAGTAGCCTCAGAGAAGGTTGGTGACCTTCCCCCTGATGTTAGTAGCCTCATAGAAGATTGGTGACCTTCCCCCCTGATGTTAGTAGCCTCAGAGAAGGTTGTTGACCTTCCCCCTGATGTTAGTAGCCTCAGAGAAGGTTGGTGACCTTCCCCCTGATGTTAGTAGCCTCATAGAAGATTGGTGACCTTCCCCCCTGATGTTAGTAGCCTCAGAGAAGGTTGTTGACCTTCCCCCTGATGTTAGTAGCCTCAGAGAAGGTTGGTGACCTTCCCCCCTGATGTTAGTAGCCTCAGAGAAGGTTGTTGACCTTCCCCCTGATGTTAGTAGCCTCAGAGAAGGTTGGTGACCTTCCCCCTGATGTTAGTAGCTTCAGAGAAGGTTGGTGACCTTCCCCCTGATGTTAGTAGCTTCAGAGAAGGTTGGTGACCTTCCCCTGATGTTAATAGCTTCAGAGAAGGTTGGTGACCTTCCCCCTGATGTTAGTAGCTTCAGAGAAGGTTGGTGACCTTCCCCTGATGTTAATAGCTTCAGAGAAGGTTGGTGACCTTCCCCTGATGTTAGTAGCTTCAGAGAAGGTTAGTGACCTTCCCCTGATGTTAGTAGCTTCAGAGAAGGTTGGTGACCTTCCCCTGATGTTAGTAGCTTCAGAGAAGGTTAGTGACCTTCCCCTGATGTTAGTAGCTTCAGAGAAGGTTGGTGACCTTCCCCTGATGTTAGTAGCTTCAGAGAAGGTTGGTGACCTTCCCCTGATGTTAGTAGCTTCAGAGAAGGTTAGTGACCTTCCAATGATGTTCGTAGCTTCAGAGAAGGTTAGTGACCTTCCCCTGATGTTAGTAGCTTCAGAGAAGGTTGGTGACCTTCCCCTGATGTTAGTAGCTTCAGAGAAGGTTAGTGACCTTCCCCTGATGTTAGTAGCCTCATAGAAGATTGGTGACCTTCCCCCCTAATGTTAGTAGCCTCATAGAAGGTTAGTGACCTTCCCCCCTGATGTTAGTAGCCTCAGAGAAGGTTGGTGACCTTTCCCCTGATGTTAGTAGCCTCAGAGAAGGTTAGTGACCTTTCCCCTGATGTTAAGCGCTGCCAGACTGAGGTGCTGACCTTACCCTGGCGACTGACCTTGAAGGCAGCGTGACAGAGGACCGGAAAGCCGAAGGAATCCAGAGAGTTAGGGTCCGCCTGCCCCTTCAAGAGGCTAGTCACTTGGCCTGCGTTGGCGGAGTGGACGGCATTCACCAGGAACTCGTTCACCTGTGGGATAGAACAAGAGGTTAAGATGGGATAGAATGGGAAACTGGGATAGAACAATAGGGTTCAGGTGTATCTTCATTCATCCTTATCTGTGCATCCTAGTTACTTCTATATCCTAGCTACTCCTTATCTATATCTCCTTGCTCCCTTTCTGTGCTTCCTGGCTCTCCTGCTTCGTATTTCGATCCAAGATCTTATTCTTTATTTCCTAGCTTCCACGACAAATTATATAAGACGGTTGAACACCTTTCAGGAGGACTAACCAGGTGGGTGAAGATCTGACCCTCCTTGTTGGGTATGGAGGTGTCGCAGCCCTTCTGTAGCAGTAGGGAAATCACGTGTGGATGGCCTCCCTCTATGGCCGAGTGGAGAGGGGTGTTGCCGCGCTGATCCTGCAGAAGGTATGTTGCACAGTTAGTGGGTCTTGATAGGTGGTGTAATTCTATTTTGCTGCTAGGTGATCAGAGGTATCAGATGAAAGGAAACGTGTCCAGCTGCTTCCGTACTGGTCGGAAATGAAATTCGGGTCCCTCGACTCATAATTAGTATAGTTGGTATGGTACACGTATTAAAAAAGTTAAGAACGTGGTACTCTAATTTTGTATAATAGTTAACTAAAACACTAGGCTACGGAAAATATCAGTATCAATCCATTGCACTTAAGTATATAAATACAGGAATTACAGCGTAAATCCTTACAAGGGGGAGGGACTATAAACAAAGCAGGTTTGTAACATTTCGACTCCTACAAGTCTAGACAAACTAAGCAGAAACTCAACAGTGGGGGTGAACGCCCCCCAAGCAACCCACCGCGGCGTTGAGGTTGGCTCCGGCGTCGGCGAGGAGGTCCACAACGCGAAGGTGGCCGTGGAAGGAGGCAGTGTGGAGGGGCGTTGTCCGGTTGCTGTCCTCGGCGTTGATGTTGGCACCCCTACAAACACGTTTTAATTAAGTCAGTTCAAAAGCTCTCCAACTCTCTCTTTCTCTCTCTCTAGCTGGCAATCGGTTCCTCGCTCATTCCTCCTGTCTATCTCTCTCTGGTCTTGGTCGTTCCAGGTTTCTTTCTGTCTCTGAATGTATATCTGTTTATGACTGTATCTTTATGTTTATCTGTCTTTTTATGGTTATCTGTCTGCATGTTTACCTTGATATTTATCTTCATGTTTATCTCTTTGCTTATCTAGGTATGTCAAATCTGTTTGTTTATGCCTGTTTCTACAAATGTAAATTCAAAAGCTTTATTTCATATGTCACAGTTCCTATGAACTGTGTTACATTTTTTTAATACAAGGGATTGGTGTAATCTACATTATTTATCTATCAATTCACTTTTACAAAAGTATACCTACTATACCTACCATTTTTTATTTTTTATTTAATGAGTTAGAACTTACACTTAGTAGCCTATTATTAGTAGCATATTAATTATTGAAAGTGATTTCATTAATTGACAGAAATAGTAATGCAACTTAAAGTGGAACATCATCGACAGGATGGTGAATATATTTGTTTTCCTTGATTAAATTATGTACAGTACAATGTTATATATACATTATTTTATGAAGGAAATCGTACATTAAATTATAATTGATATAATTTTCTGCAAAACAACATATATAGTTGACATAATTTTCTGCAAAGCAAAGTATTTACAGTAGTAGAGATAATTTTATGCAAAACAATGTATGCAGTTGATATAATATTCTGCAAAACAATGTATGCAGTTGATATAATATTCTACAAAACAATGTATCCAGTTGATATAATATTCTGCAAAACAATGTATGCAGTTGATATAATATTCTGCAAAACAATGTATGCAGTTGATATAATATTCTGCAAAACAATGTATGCAGTTGATATAATATTCTGCAAAACAATGTATGCAGTTTATATAATATTCTACAAAACAATGTATCCAGTTGATATAATATTCTGCAAAACAATGTATGCAGTTTATATAATATTCTACAAAACAATGTATCCAGTTGATATAATATTCTACAAAACAATGTATGCACTTGATATAACATTCTGCAAAACAATGTATGCACTTGATATACTGCAAAACAATGTATGCAGTTTATACAATTTTCTACAAAACAACAAAACAATGTATGCAGTTGATATAATTTTCAGCTAAACAGTGTTTCATATCATTAGAGAATATACACCCCTCCCCTTCCCCTCTTAAGCCCTGAATGTTAAATTACCTCTCAATGAGGAGAGAGACGATGTTGAGCTGGCCCCTGGCTGCCGCGTGGTGAAGGATGGACCAGTGGAGGTTGCCCTTAGTGTCCGGACTCAGACCCCAGTCCAACCACTGGACCAGCACCTCGCAGTCCCCAGACTCCACCACTGGCATCAACTGTTGACCCACCTGTTCCCTCACCATCATAATAACATAATAGTGTTAACTAAGGTTAAACACAACATAATAGTGTTAACTAAGGTTAACTCAACATAATAGTGTTAAATATATTTTTTTTTTAATTTGTAGTTACAGTACATTAATTCCTGTAAATAAAAAATAATGAAGGGTAAACTATGTCAAAATTAAGGTAATCTAAATTAATAGAATTTTAAGAAATAATAATACAAATAGAGTATCTGAAAATATCTGTTATATCAAACAAAAATTGAACAGCCTATCAGTGTAACCTGGTATATCTTTGTGTTTTATCTATCAGTGTAACCTGGTATATCATTTGAGTTGGCATATACATGGGAAGCATATGCTTCCCATGTATATGCCATCGTATTCATAGGAATCATATACAGATGGATATACTAGGATATCCATAATCTTATAGGCTACGTATATACACATGCAAAACTCACACAGTATGAATATAAAAACTATCGAAATTTACGACAGGCGTTCGTGTGCGGAGATGCCTGTATACACACCAGGGCATGGAATATTCATATATTTAATGGGCGTGTACGTATATACCACAACATACGTATTTGGTAAAGATCGAAGTAAATATTCCTGCGCGCCATCACGCTATCGTACATGGTACGAGGACATGCTTTCACAAATATACCAATTGGTCACCAAGAGACGGACGGATACACACACGCAAGGCGGGGTCCAAGAGCTAATAGCTCGACTCTGCAGGCACAAATAGTAAATAAACACACACATACACATGAAACAGAGAAGTGCACATAAGCCAAAGCCTGCTCATAGAACATACCAGTTGTAAAAATCCCTGGTTCTTACGATTGGTCTTGGCCATGTCCGCCTTCTTGCCTATAAGCAGTTTGGCGACGGCTGTGTGGAGGCCCCTGGCGGCCTCGTGTAGGGGAGTGTTCCCCGCCTTGTCCTGCAACGTGGGGAATGATGTGATGTGAGAGACAATTATAGTGTTATAATCGACTTGAGAATGGTCCAGGACGGACCGAAACGTCGTCGTCCCTTCACTTTCTAGTGTGTGGTTTGGTCAACATATTTCAGGCACGTTATTGTGTCTCCTCGTCTGCAATTATAAACCTTTCCTCGGGTGGACCTTATTCATAAAGGGTTTGGAGGTATACTTGAGTAAACCTTTCCTCGGGTGGGTTATTAATGTTGATCTTATTCATAAAGGGTTTGGAGGTATACTTGAGTAAACCTTTCCTCGGGTGGGTTATTAATGTTGATCTTATTCATAAAGGGTTTGGAGGTATACTTGAGTACCTACCTCATATGGGTTATGATGGTAGCTGGGTTAGAGTGGGGGGTACCTACTATATTTGTTGTTTTAGATTTAGCTACTCAGAACGAAGTGTCCATGTAGCACGGACTATGGTGAGCCCGTAATGCTATATTTGGGGGGGTCATAGTGGATATCTGCTGCGTAGGTGAGTTGTGGCTGGGAACTTCCGCATAGGTGATTATGGAGACTTTTTTTTTAATAAAGTTGGCATCAAGTATAGTAATTTGGACGGACGTCAGCAGCTTCCCCCAACCCTCCATCCCCAAAGCCAACCCAAATAAAAATAATGATATAAATAATAATAATTATAAATAGAAATAAAATTGCTAAAAATCGGTAATGTGTGCATTTAAAATGTTCAAGCTGGCGGTGTCAGCTGAACTTTCTGAGAGAACCCACAATAATAGCTAAATATTGCCTTGTAAAATGTATGTATATATGATTTATATTGTATTTTATTAAATATAGATAAAAAAATGACACGAATTAAACTTGTTCAGTCTTTCATGAGACACTTTCAAAATTAAATGATATATTTTTGCTTTAGTGTATATCATTACATACACAAAGTGTATATCATTACATACACAAAGTGATTCGATTAATATTAATAAATCAATCAATCAATCCTAGTTATAGTGCTAAACTGACTCGTGGAAGTAGTTGATGATGGTGACTTCATCCTTCCCCCCCCCCCCATACACACACATATTCAACCCGTCCTCTTAAAATTTTAACGTCACTTTTGGCTCGTATGCGCACTATGGCCAAATTTGGACGTAATTTGAAATGAAATCGACTCACAAAAGTGACGTACTGTTCCGTTTTCTGTTTGAATGAAATTGAAATTGAAATTGAAATAAGTTTATTGAGGTAAAATACACACAAAGGGATGAGGTAGCTCAAGCTATTCTCACCCCATTCAGTACAACGTGTTAATATATACATAGACAACTCAACTGTTTGAATCGTCCGGCTTACTCGGCAAGCTTAGAAGTGGATTCTTTCCATTAACGTTTTTCATGCCGTTTTGAAACTGTATGAGAATTTCCTGCCCACCTAATCTATCAGAGGACCCTTAACTTACTGTTGTTGAAAAAAAAATCCCAAATTTATATTAATTTTTTTCATTTTCAAATTACGTCCATATTCGGCCATACGGGCAAACGGCCAAAAGCGACGTTCTTTTTAAGAGGACAGGTTGCGTGATCTACTGTAGATGTTGACACAGAACACAGACGCAAATCTACCTGGGCATTGACATAGGCGTTCTTCTTGAGCAGAAGCTCTACGACGGCGCTGTAGCCTTGAGCAGACGCCCGGTGAAGAGGCGTACAACTGTCTGTAGTGCAGGAATTCACCTGAAGGAGAACACATGTTATATTAGAAAGTTATATTAGAATATATTATATTAAAACACAGAGATATTAGAAAGAACTTTTTTAGTGTCAGAGTGGTTGACAAATGGAATGCATTAGGCAGTGATGTGGTGGAGGCTGACTCCATACACAGTTTCAAGTGTAGATATGATAGAGCCCAATAGGCTCAGGAATCTGTACACCTGTTGATTGACGGTTGAGAGGCGGGACCAAAGAGCCAGAGCTCAACCCCGCAAACACAACTAGGTGACTACACGTTCGTCGAGAAATACAAATCAGGCCCCAGATTCACGAAGCAGTTACGCAATTACTTACGAACGTGTACATCTTTCCTCGATCTTTGACGGCTTTGGTTACATTTATTAAACAGTTTACAAGCATGAAAACTTGTCAATCAACTGTTGTTATTGTTATAAACAGCCTCCTGGTGCTTCAGAGCTCATTAACTGTTTAATAATTGTAAACAAAGTTGCCAAAGATTGAGAAAAGATGTACAGGTTCGTAAGTGCTGGCGTAACTGCTTCGTGAATCTGGCCCCAGATATTTTGGTGAAATCCTGTCCAACTCGTTCGTTTAGCTGATTAATTAAACCATTACTTATACTTAATATTAGTAGATGCTGAATACATTTCGGTTCATATATCAACCATGGCTGTTCAAAGGATTAATTTGGTTTCTAGATAAGTTTAAAAATATATATATGTTTTGTAACATTAGGATAGGTTTGGTAATATTAGGATTGGTTAGGAAATACGAGGATAGGTTTGGTAATATTAGGATTGGTTTAATAATATTGGGATTAGTTAGGAAATGCTAGGATGTGATTGGTAATATTAGGATAGATTTGGTAATGTTAGGATATGTTTAGTAACATTAGGATAGGTTTGGTAATATTAGGATTGGTTAGGAAATACTAGGATAGGTTTGGTAATATTATAGTTGGTTTGATAAGAATAGGTTAGATAAGATAGGCATTGTTAAGTATTGATTAGACTAGGTCAGATTAGATTGTGTTAGAGCAATAGTGTTATATTGTCTCAATTATATAAATATATGGAGCCTTTTGTTCATTATTTTGATTATGTTAACATTCTAATCAACATATAATAAAAACATTTTTCACGTAAATATTCTATTTAGTCTAGAAATTGCTTTGATGCGACATAGTTTTATCATTTATACAAAACCTGTCATCGAGTTTATAATTCACAACTGACATAGCCTATGTCACACACACATATATATATATATATATATATATATATATATATATATATATATATATATATATATATATATATATATATATATATATATATATATATATATATACACACACACACACACACACAAGATATTAGTATGGTATTATATATATAGATATTACAGTTGACAGGCGGGACCAAAGAGCCAGAGCTCAACCCCCGCAAGCACAGTTAGATGAGTGCAATTAGGTGAGTACAGGAGCAGGTTGCGGAAGCAAACTCTATTCATAATTTTAAAACGAGACATGATAGGGAAATGGGACAGGAGTCATTGCTGTAAACAACCGATGGCTAGAAAGGCGGGATCCAAGAGTCAATGCTCGATCCTGCAGGCACAAATAGGTGAGTGAGTACACACACACACACACAGAGTAACTCACACAACCTCCCAGGCACTGACCGAAGCGCCGGCGTCCAAGAGGACCTCGACGACCTCAGTCTGGCCCTCGACGCAGGCCAGGTGCAGGAGCGTCCATCCCAGGTGGTTCCGCGCGTTGGGGTCGCCGCCATTCCTCAGGTATACCAACACTCCCACTTTGTCCCCTTTCCTCAACAGGGTCACCACCTCGGACGTGTCCTGCGAGAGATAAGGCTTCTTAGCACCTGTTTCTAGCAGCTCGTAGCACCTGTATCTAGGAGTGCTTAGCACCTGTTTCTACCAGCTCAGTGTTGCTAACACCTACCACGTGTTTCAAGGTTAGCACCATTGGTTAGTGCTTGTTAATATGGGTCCATTTGGTATGCGTTGGGTTCATTTGGGTAAATATAAATATGCACAATGCATTACTAACATTTGTTGTAAACAAAAAATGGCACTTGATGCACTTAATTGTTGACTTTTTTTTAGAATATTAATATCTTTGTTCGAACATATAACGTTATTATGTAGGGTACGTTAGACCAACCCAAAAATATGCAGCTCTGACATGGAGATAAGAAAGGTAAGCTACGAGAATAGTCTTAGAGAAGTAAAGGAAACCGTATGAGACGAGACAAGAACCAGAGACGATATTAATCACAGTGTATAAGATACTGAGAGAAAGAGGAATAGTGGAGAGGGAAAGAATTGTCAAGGGAAAGCGCCAAGCCATTACGACTATATAGCACTGAGAAGGGATCAGGATAAGGATTTAAGAGAAACTAGATTAGTAAACAGTCGTTTTCCAACGCTCATCTTAAATACAAACGAAACAGTTATGTAACATCTGGACTAATTAAACAAAGTTCTACTTTCACCAAACACTCACGAAGAACATTTCACGTTTAAATTTTCTATGGACAAATATTATATATCCGAGTTAGTAAAGAACAAAATCTAAGCACAGTGCAAATGTGCTTAGATTTAGATAAATGTTCAATCAACATTTAAGTCAGATCAACGGAGGTACCATCTTGTAAGTACCTGTCACTGAAACATTATTTCTTTGCTTTTCCTTAAATACAATGTAATACGATCGTTGGAAGAGCTTAAAACAGAATAGGAAAGCAGGCGTCTGCTTGTGTTCGTGCGGTGAGAGAGAGAGACAAACATGTGGCCAATGATCCAGTATTCAGCAGGCATAAAGCAGACCCCTGGCAGACCTCAAGAGTGACACAACACACAGGTATTTTCCACCTCGCACGCTGTCATGCTCTCAATCTTGAAGCTCTCTTAATCCTCCTCTTAATCCTGCTCTTAGTCCTCCTACCAGCGCCCACTGCTCCTTAAGTCACTTTACCTCTAGTATGGGACTCAAGTGCCCTTTTCTCGCTCTACACAACAGATGGTGGTACTGACACAGAGATGTTATAACATCGTCAGAGATCAAGGGAAAGGCGCTATATGCAAGAACCATTGCCAATTTATTCCGCGTATTTCCCCCCCCCCCCCCACCCCCACCCCCTCTTGTGAAACCCCGGGTAAACAAGATCGCTATTTCAAGAGATGAAACTTTAGCAAGCGTTTGTTTGGCCTTTTTCAGCAGTAAGACCTACGATTGAGGTGTTTGCACGGACATGTGCAAGGTAGACGAGCGCTGATAGATGTTTTTGTCTACTGTATTGATGAGCTAAAAATCTGCCATTCAAAGCCTAATGCTTTCACAGAAAAATGCCACTCTTGTGAAAGGTTTGACAGCAGCTGGGGCGTCTAATATACGTCAGCCAGTTCGCTGGAGAGCACACCAGTATGGCCAGGTACTGGTGAATACAGTAGCCCGTTCTCACGATCTGACACTCCGTAAGAAAATGCAACTGTTTTTTGTGTTAGGAAAACATTCAAGCCTAGGCAACCCCGCCTGACCTGTCGAGAACGATGCTTGGGAAACGTCCGTGTTACGGTGCTTTGATTTGTTCTAAAACCTTAAACCCTTCACTATCTTCCTTACCCTTCACTATCTTCCCTACCCTTCACCACCTTCCCTACCCTTCACCACCTTCCGTACCCTTCACCAGCTTCCCTACCCTTCACTATCTTCCCTACCCTTCACCACCTTCCCTACCCTTCACCACCTTCCGTACCCTTCACCAGCTGCCCTACCCTTCACTATCTTCCCTACCCTTCACCACCTTCCCTACCCTTCACCACCTTCCCTACCCTTCACCACCTTCCCTACCCTTCACTATCTTCCCTACCCTTCACCATCTTCCCTACCCTTCACCACCTTCCCTACCCTTCACCACCTACCCTACCCTTCACCAGCTTCCCTACCCTTCACCACCTTCCCTACCCTTCACCACCTTCCCTACCCTTCACCACCTTCCCTACCCTTCACCACCTTCCCTACCCTTCACCACCTTCCCTACCCTTCACCACCTTCCCTACCCTTCACCACCTTCCCTACCCTTCACTATCTTCCCTACCCTTCACCATCTTCCCTACCCTTCACCACCTTCCCTACCCTTCACCACCTACCCTACCCTTCACCAGCTTCCCTACCCTTCACCACCTTCCCTACCCTTCACCACCTTCCCTACCCTTCACCACCTTCCCTACCCTTCACCACCTTCCCTACCCTTCACCACCTTCCCTACCCTTCACCACCTTCCCTACCCTTCACCACCTAAAAGAGAAATATAGACGTAGAGAAATATATGTATTTCTCTACGTCATTGCCACGCATTACGGGGCTATTCATGCCCGTGCCACCTCTTGGGGTAGCTTAACCTTCATCAATCATTGCTACGCTACATCCATATATAACCTATCCCATCCTGGCCTGCCCTAACCCAACCTAACTCACTACAGCCTGTTGTAGTGTTCAGTTCTTTGTTCTTGTTATAGATTCAGCTACTCGGAACAAGTTCCAAGTAGCACGGGCTATGGTGAGCCCGTAACTTACCTGGCACAGGAGCGGGGCAAGTAGCACGGGCTATGGTGAGCCCGTAGTGGACTTACCTGGCACAGGAGCGGGGCAAGTAGCACGGGCTATGGTGAGCCCGTAGTGGACTTACCTGGCACAGGAGCGGGGCAAGTAGCACGGGCTATGGTGAGCGCATAGTGGACTTACCTGGCACAGGAGCGGGGCTGTGTGTAGCGTTCAGGTTTTAGATACAACCCGTTGTACCGACCAGTCAAAAGTTGATAAACATGGGGGTATATCCTAATGATCTGTGGTGGGGGAGAGAGAGGAGGGAGGGAAGGGCACTGCACGTCGTGGGGAAGACAGTGCCACTCCCCGACCTTGGTGGCACTGTGCCCAATCGTGGAGCCCCTTGTATCGTGACACTTCCCACACTTTGGCCCTCTCTCTCACACACACACTCTTTGTTGCCTCATTGTAGTAGTTTTTATGACTTATTAAAGAGCTCGGGTACACAGCAGTGTTGGCACTCTATTCTGTAAGAGATATGACCATGGTGTGTATGCTTCTAGAGCTACCTATACGTACCGTGTTGTTGTTTAAGATTCGCTACCTGGAACAAGAAGTTCCAAGTAGCACGGGCTATGGTGAGCCCGTAGTGGGCTTACCCGTAATGTCCCCCATCTCACATCATGGCTGTTAACCTGTCCTGGCAAACTTTTACTACAGTGTGAGGCTATTTTCTGATATCCGTGGCTATTTTCTGATATCCGTGGCTATTTTCTGATATCCGTGGCTATTTTCTAATATCCGTGGTTTTCTTCTAATAGTTTTTAGTTTAGTTCATTTATTATGCACCCCATACCCCTTCTATCATCATACTATCTTCTAATATCCGTGGCCATCTTCTAATATCCGTGGCTATCTTCTAATATCCGTGACTATCTTCTAATATCCGTGACTATCTTCTAATATCCGTGACTATCTTCTAATATCCGTGACTATCTTCTAATATCCGTGACTATCTTCTAATATTCGTGACTATCTTCTAATATCCGTGACTATCTTCTAATATCCGTGACTATCTTCTAATATCCGTGACTATCTTCTAATATCCGTGACTATCTTCTAATATCCGTGACTATCTTCTAATATCCGTGACTATCTTCTAATATCCGTGGCCATCTAATATTCGTGGCTATCTTCTAATATCCGTGACTATCTTCTAATATCCGTGACTATCTTCTAATATTCGTGACTATCTTCTAATATCCGTGACTATCTTCTAATATTCGTGGCTATCTTCTAATATCCGTGACTATCTTCTAATATCCGTGGCTATCTTCTAATATTCGTGGCTATCTTCTAATATCCGTGACTATCTTCTAATATCCGTGACTATCTTCTAATATCCGTGGCTATCTTCTAATATCCGTGGCTATCTTCTAATATCCGTGGCCGAGAGAGAGACAGAGACAGAGACAGACAGACAGACAGACAGACTTTCAAACAGACAGACAGACAGACAGACAGACAGACAGACAGACAGAGAGGAACAGAGAGAGACAAAGAGACAGAGAGAGAGAGAGAGAGAGAGAGAGAGAGAGAGAGAGAGAGAGAGAGAGAGAGAGAGAGAGAGAGAGAGAGAGAGAGAGAGAGAGAGAGAGAGAGAGAGAGACAGAGACAGAGAGAGAGAGGTGTATCATGTGGGTCACCAGGAGAGGATGCCAGTGCCAACTTGGTCACAGGGAAGCAAACGCCGGCACCCTCCTGCTTCCTCCACTTAACACTGCTTTTTATATCACTCTTATTTTTAGTATTAGGTAGCGATGCTCTGCTCTCTCTGTTTATCTCCCATCCATCTATCTATTAATCTATCTTTCAATCCCTTTCTCTATTTTTATATTCCTTTATGAATACAAACTCCACGTTAATCGTACACCATATTTCATATTTGATTCAATGAACATGTCCTACGCGTGTTTACATTTGCTAATATTTCTTAAAGCATTTAACATAAGCCTACCCCGACTAGCTTATGTCGGTCCTATACCCCAGACCATTTTCCCTGCACATTTAGATGGGACTAGCCCTAAGCGTCTGCCCTCTATCCACATGGAATTAAACACAACAGCATCATTACAATTGTCAATTTTGCTGTTTTCCATTTTTCGTAAAAACCTTCTACCATCTAGAGCAGGGAGTTCTCAACCTGGGATCCGTTGAAGGGGTCCATGGATGGGCTTTATTCAATGTGTATGTCATGCACTGTATAAGGCAATCAATTTTCAATTAA